TCATGCTCGCTACGGCCCGACGGGGCGACGCAACGGCGGCACGAGGGTCGATGTAGCCACGGGACGGCCTAGAGCGGACGCCCTCGGGGCGGCGGGGGACCGCGGGCCGCGGCACTACGGCCCGAAGAGGCGACGCAACGGTGACGCGGGTCGGTGTAGCCGGGAGAAGAACCACGGGGCGGCGGCGCTGCGGCCCGACGAGGCGACGCAGTGGCAACCCGATGCTCGATCGGTGGAGAGACGCGCTGAACTCGGGGACGATCTTCACGGGACCTGCGGAGGCGTGCGTAACCAACGGGCCAGGTTGGTCGCGTGGCGTAGATGAGGCGGATCGCGGCGGCGAGCGGGTGATGAAGCCGATCGCGCGCGAGGTTGGGGACGCCGCTCGGTGAAGGCGTGGTGGCGGCGGAGTCCGAGATGAAGCCGACGGCGGCGGGCGGCAGGGCGACTATGATTGGCCGCCGCATGGTGCGAGGCCGCCGGGTCAGGGTGATGCAGGTGTCCCGGTCGGAGCAGGGCGGTGACGGCCGGCGTAGATCGACGGGCGGGCCGTCGCGCGAATGGCGGCGGTGGAGGGTCGCCGCATGACGCGAGGCCGCCGAGTCAGGGCGACCGACGGGCAGACGCGCGGACGACGCACGAGGCCGCCGGGTCGGTGAAGAAGCCGGCCAATCGCGCCGGTGTTGGAGTAGAGGCGCACGACATTGACGACGGCGGTGGGCGACGCAAACCGGATCACATAGACCAGAAAATCAAAAAATAGACACCGATCAAATCGACCGGCGAGAAAGAGAAAAACCCGGATCAAAGGATCGGGAAAAAGACTCTCTAGGGCAACCGGCCAACACGGCCGGTGGACGAACCCTAGGTTTGTGCGGCGCGGCCCCCGGCAGCGGTCAAGGAGGCCGCCCGCCCCGGGGGCGGCGCGCATGTCCAGAATCGGTGGCGGCCAGGGTTTAGGATCGACTTGCGATAGATACCATGTTAGAAGAAGAGAGGGATTTGGTGGAATAGTTGTTGTATTGTTTGAGCCTCGTGGGCATATATATAGGAATACAAAGATTAACTTAGAGTACAATACAATGCAGGACCAAATCCTAGCCTATCCTATACTTCCTAATAATCTTATGCTCAACCGTCAGGAATCGTTTCGAGCACATTCGCCGATAACAAACCGTTCTCTCGCCCTTCCGGTCACTCTGTATAATCAAGCACATTACCGCATTGCACAAACATATGCACAAAGAACACCATATTATACTCCTATAAAAAATGTTGAAGTATCTATCTCATGGAGGCTTCGTGGACGAGAGGGTGAGAGCGCCCTCTGCGCCGCCCGTCTTGCCGTGGCGTGCTGCGGGCCCTCTCGAGACTCTCGTTGCCGTCTAATATGTCCGGACGGCGTGCACCTGGGCGACCCCCCACGTACATGCCGGATGGACCGCGGACGCACATAGGGCCAAAGTCTTGTGGTGTTGTGTGGCGGTCTCGCGTGGGAGGTCCTGTGCGCAATAGGGAGGCCGAACCCGCATGGCGGCGTCTTCGACTCTATGTGGGCTGGTCCGGTCACGCCAGTAGGGGCACGCGGCACACACAACCCCCATCGGATCGGTTAGATCCTCGGTTGCACCAGCTGGGCCCGCACGGGGCTCATGGCCGGCTGCGACTCGTGCCTCGGCTCGATTACTCGGTGGCGCGCTCCTCGCCATCGGATCTCCACGGCCGCCACGTAACCACCCGGTTTTTTCTGGGGTCCATGGCGTGTGGGTCGTGGACGTGAACGAGGCCACTTCTCTGTAATGGTTTTCGTTGCGACCTAGTGCACCCTCTAGCGCGACGCCCTGCACACGACGGGCCGCCGGCTTTGCCTGTCAGCGTCGCTCACCCGCTGGCCAACCCGGGTATGAGCAGGCGCAACGGCGTTCACAGGAGCCGGCTCGGGGTGTGAGCGACGGACCCGGACCACTGAGGTTGTCTAGTGCTCGGCTTAAGTCGGTGTGGGACGTGAGCATTTTGATCCTTTCCTTAAGTCGGTTATATTTTCATGTAAATTTGTTGTTTACACCGCAAAGACGCGTGTGAAGTACACTTGTCTTTCTCTCCCTTCACTTTACAGGTCTCAATCTGCAGGACCCTTTGCCCATTCCCGTCGGTGATGTTCACAAATCACAACATGATTTTGGCATGTGTAACCCGAGTCACGTGCTGCTCAGCCACAGATGCAGGGAGGACAAAAACAATGCAGCCTACCAAACCTCGAGACCTCCTATACAACGCTTTATGCATCAAGGAAGCAGAGATGCGCTCATGCGCTACTTGTGTGGGCTGGCCCAGCAAGCAAACCGAGCACTGCTCCCTCCCCCTCACTCGGTTCTCAGGGTCGACAACTCGGCCATTGATCGGCTGATCGCCGTCAGATTGAATCCCTACTATTCCTTTAGTCAATACAAATTGTGACCTGGATCTCGTGAATATATCAATTCCAGCCAACGGTGACACTATGGCTTCACTTCGATTGATTCTTAACAAATTGGTATTTTCAGTTGGTGAGGGCCATTCTCTCTATATATAGGACGTTGATTAAGAATATATAGAGAATTCTTGGGCAACTGCGTAGATTTATGTAATATCAGTTGATCGTTGACTTTAAAAAACCATGAATCTAAAAAAATCATAAATTTTTTAAAAATCACGAATATTTAAAAGTTCAAAATTTTAAAATAAGTTTACTAATGTAAAAAAATCATTTTTTTAGAACTGTGTGAAAAAGTTCGTAAATTTGATAGGAGGAGTTTGGGCTTACTAATTTTTTGTTGCAACTGGCCTAGTGCAGGGCCGAATGTGTCACAAAAATTCTGCAGAAAATCTATACGATCGGGATCCGAGATCGGCGTAACGCGACTACGCGAGTGGCACCGAGCCCATTTACGCCATCCATCTCCGGACCAAGCGCTCCACAGCCGCCCATAATTTTGTCACAATATCCTCCCGCGCCGCGCGTCTGCGCGGGCACCACAAACCAGAAGAAGAAATGGCAGCGGGCCCCACGCCATCCACAGCCGCGTCCTTCCGGCCGCCCCTGCCGCCTCCGCCGCCGTGCTTCGACTACCGGTCCGCGTCGCTCGCCGATACGCGTGCCAGCGCCGCCACCGCGGACCCCGCGCTGGCTGGGTTGGTCGAGTCCGGTGCACTGGTACGCGTCCCGCGGCGGCGGTTCGGGCCGGTGCCGGCGTGGCGGCCGCCGGATTTCGCTGAGCCCGAGGACGTGTGGATCCTCGGGACCTCGCACCTCTCCGCGGAGTCTGCCGACGAGGTCGAGCGCGTGCTCCGTGCCGTCCACCCCGACAACGTCGTCGTCGAACTCTGCCGGAGCAGGCATGATCCAGTATCCCGACCGACCGTATCATCACCGTTTCTCTCTTCGAAATCTGAGCGGTGCCTTTGCAGTGCCCTTACTGCAGAGCCGGGATCATGTACGCTTCCGACGACGCCTCCGGCGAGCCGCTGTTGAAATCCAACATGTTTTCGCTCGGCGGCGCCAAGTTCTTGGGAGCCGTCAACCGGAGCATCAACCTGGGTACTATGTGCTACCTCAGGTTCCTCGAACAAATGGAACGCTGCTGATTTCATTGCCATCTTTTTGCGACGGTGCAGGTGGACAGAGTGCTCTTGCTCTGCGTTTGCTCCTGGCTGTTTTTTCTTCCAAGATTTCTTCTGGCGCGAACCGGCCGTTTGGGGAGGAGGTACTCTGTTTGCTCATGTCAGTCTTTCACATATTGTTATGGAACGACTCAGAACCTCGAATTGTTTTGTTATCAAATCTTCATGCAGTTCCGAGCAGCTAGGAGGGTGTCTGAAGATATTGGCGCTCAGCTCGTTCTTGGGGATCGCCCTATTGAAATAACTGTATGTGGACATCTGCAACTAAGCAAGCTGATCATATGCTAGTTACATGTGATGTGTCACTGATGGTGTCACATTTTGTTCTTGTAGCTTGAACGAGCTTTGAAATCCCTCAGCTGGGATGAAAAGACTAAACTCGTAATCTCATTATTCCGTGGAATCACTTCAACCACCGATATGCCGGTAAATGCTACTACCTGTGTTGCTCCAGTTTCCAGTCTTCCTGTTAATCAATTAGCCAAAGTACCATTTTTTGCAGTTACCGTCTTAGTCTTACTGACATGCATGCATGTCTGGCTGCTAACTATCAGCAGGATGAGAAAGCTGCGGTTAGCCCGTACGAGTTGTACGAGAAGCTTAGCAGCTCATATCCTTCGCTGCTGCAGCCTCTCATACATGAGCGCGACATGGTACGATATGGCTTCTCCGCAACTTTCATCTGAAAATTCCAACCTACTTCATACTTCATCTGAAAACAAACCAGCATTGTCTATGAAGCATGAACTAGATGTTTTTTTTTTTCTTTTGCATGTTTGCTTCTCAGTACATGGCTTGGTCCCTAAAGAGGAGCAAGGCCGTGAACAAGAGCAAGACGGTGGTTGGGGTCATCGGGAAGGGGCATATGAACGGCGTGGTGTACGCGCTGATCTCTGACCAGGGGGACCTGAGGTTCCGCGACCTCGTCGGCAGGGAATCGTCGGAGACCTGGGCTAGCTCCGTTGTCAAGGGCCTGGTCAGGGATACGGTGATAGGGCTCGTCCTCTGGGCTCTGTACGAACTGCTGCAGGCTGCCGCCCTACATATAACGTTGTAGCTGAAGTCCATTTTTACTGGCAAAGACTGACATTTGTAACCGTGCACGCTCTTTGTAACGTCCATGCAGCTTGAGATTGTAAAGTCAAGTGAAGTACTCCCTATGTAAACTTTTATAAGACGTTTAAGGGATTTCCGACAGCCCCAATTTTATGTGTAAAAGGACATTTCAGTCCTCAGTTTCGAATTTGAAATCGCCCATTCCCCAGCGTCTTCCTTGCCGCGCGCCCCAGCTTCTTCCTCGCCGTGGCCACGCCAGCACATCTTCCGCGTCAGCATGTCGCCGCGCCAACTAGACTGTGTGAAGTACCTGGTGTTGTCCTTTTTTTTTTTTGAGAGAGAAGTACCTGTTGTTGTCTGTGAGCAAAGCCCACTAACGTTTCATTTTCGGCGTTTGGCTCATAACAGGCCACTTACGTCTGTCCACTTGCGTCTTTCGACTGAGCAAACAGAAGCCCATTTCCCCCTCGATTAAAAAAAAATGCCCATTCACATAGACACGAATTAACCAGGACATTCCAAATCCGAAAATGCTCAGAGCCTAATGGGAAGAACTGGCGTTTGATCTGCAGGACAGATTAGCATGTCAGGACTATGTTAAGATGATGGTGACTCTATGGGCAATCTGGAAGGCGCGCAGAGATATAATTCACGAAAATATTTTTCAATCGCCGCTTGCGACCTGTAGATTCATCATGAAATTTATTCAAGAGCATGCCGTAAGGGATGTACCCAAAACATACCGGTGCCAAGACGTGGGACTGCATGGATCCCCCCTCCCGGGGGTGTTGTGAAAGGAAATGCTGATGGAGTTCCGTCGGTTAGGAAAGGGAAGAGTTCAGCTGCTGCTATTTTTTGCTCAGAAGAAGGACTGTTTTTGGGTGCATCAGTTCTGGCCTTGGTTGGAGTGATGGAACCATCTACTATTGAAGCGATAGCGTGTAGAGAAGCGTTATGCTTAAGTAAAGATGCATGTTTTAATTCTATGACCATTGCTTCGGATTGTTCTGGTGTAGTAAAAGCCTACAGGAAGAATCCCTTGGTGAAAACATAATGATCACTAAAGAGGTTACAGATATGCAGGAGTCCATGACTAGGATTGTTTTCAAGTTTGAGGGTAGATCATCAAATGGGGATGCCCATAGTATTGCTAGTGTGATGCAAGACGTGGACTGGATCATCAAGACTGCTGCCCTATGTGCAGCCAAGAAGAGGAGAGCATAAACCACGTTCTACTTCAGTGTGTTGTCGCACGGGAAGTGTGGACGACGATCTGCCATCCCTTGCGCAAGCCGGAGTGGATACCTACTGTGATTGAAAGCCTCGGGGCATGGTGTCAAGGCAAGGGAGGAAGAAGGCATGCCGAGAGAGATGCAAATGCAATCATCATTCTAGGGCTATGGCAGATATGGAAGCATCGCAACTCCATCGTTTTTGACGGAGCCACACCTTCGAAGAACAGGATCATTCAAGCAGTCGTCCGAGAGGGCCATATATGGAAGCAAGCGGGCATACTATGAGGAGATATGGACGCCTTCTTTGCAGAGGTGGAGGAGTGGGCAGTGGAGCGTAGGTAGACATAGGAGAGGGAGGTGGAGGGTGAAGTTAGTGTACAGTGTATATATATATGTAATCTGTAACGCTAATGTGGACAGGCTCTTTACCCCGATCCCTTCTTTATAATATAGTACGCACACTCGTGTGTATTCGAGAAAAAATAGTATTGCTAGTAATCGCTTCATTTAGTGCTAAGTCGCTATGTTTTGTTCCTAGAGCCCCCTGGCTATGTAAAATCTTCTTTATGTCTGATTAATAAAGTCCGGTTGTTATGCTAAAAATAGTCTATTTTAAATTCTGCCATTATAACGTGGAACAGTAGTGTAGGAACAAGGAAGTACTCTCTCCGTCTCAGTTTATAAGTCCTACGCGTATATCTAGGTTGCCAATTTTATCACCCTAATATAAACTATATAACACAAAAAATATACCTTTTGAAAATAGAACATCTGAAGTTTATATTGATATATTTTTTGTAATATATGACTTGTATTAGGTTGATCAAATTGTCGACCTAGGGGTATGCGCACGCCCTGTAAACTGAGAGAGAGGAAGTAATTGCATAGGAGCTCCTAAGTGCTCCACACACCCACATCAAGACAGTTTACACACATCGAGATTATAAACGTATGTTGTATCTTTTTTCTTCCGAAAAGGAGGATTACCCTCGGCCTCTGTACCAGCATGATGCACACAATCATCTTTATTAGTTATTCACGAGAGCCTGGCAAAACAAATACAAGGATCAACCCAAAGCCATATTCTAGGCGGACTAAGTCGCTACACCTACAAGTATACAGATGTGCTCTGTCCGCATAACAGACACAATCTAATCCAGTGGCCTTAAGACCATCCGGTCTAGACATTCCATAACGTGCACCGCCTGCGCACGCTTCAGGACGATCCGCCGTCGCCATCTTCCGCCATCCTATGAGGACATGACAACCATTGATACAACCCCGGCCATCAAAGTAGAAATCATAGTAATTTGTGTCAAATAAATACAGTGCCAGGTGAATGCTAACTTAAGTTCATACTATAATCTTGAACGCATGGCTGCACTTTCATCTGCTTTGTTGTTTGTTGAACTCAGGTGCAATATCAAAGAAGGCCAGGCACATTTTAGTCCCTGCAAAACAATGTTTTATGGAGAAGAAACAAAGTTAGGAGTTCATGAATAAATAAGTTATCTGCTGAATAAACATTGTTCCAATTCTGATGAAACAATGTTTTGGACGAGTTTGTATATCCCAACTTGCGGAAGGTTTCTAGAACTCGAGTTTGCCGCTGAAGGAAACATTGTTCGACTCCAGTGAACAATGTTTGGTCGTGAACTGCCAACCACCTCCAACGAGAGTTTTTCAGAAGCTACCTCATTAGGTTTCAAAGCCATTTAGTCAAACCAAAGCTGGTTCTCTTTCACACCTAAGCTGGTTCCAAAACTAGTTTGATTTTACACCTATCCAGGGGGATTGTCCCGATTATAAATAGTTTAGCTCTTTCCTTCATTGGGAACTTTTGCCATTTCTATCAAAGACCAAAGATATAGACTCCTCCTGAGATTGGAGAGCTCTTGTTATCTTTATTCTGGTGATTCCTTGAGAAATTGCTCCTAATTCGTGCTCCACGACTAGATCGTGTTGTGTGGGTTAGAGCTCATGGTTTCCCCATGTGGATTGCACTTATCCCGTGCTCCACAACTTGAGCGTGGTTGTGTGGGATAGTATTGCGGGTTGGGGATCAGCGAATATTCAGATTGCAGGCTTCGGCGAGAATCCTCCTCGTCGGGTCATAATCTCTTATTTTCTGTTTTTCAGCTGCTTGCAGCTAGTTATCCATCCATTATCGATCCTACCCCGTGAAGATCGGACCTCCCCTTGTACACCCTCTTCTCTAAAGATGTTGTCGCATCATCTGGTATCAGAGCAAGGTTTACGCGGTAGGACCTATATCTTTGTTGCTAGATCTATCCTTTTTAGTTTGATTTTTCCCTGTCCTAAAGTCCAAAGCTAGAAAAGTAAAAAAAATTCCAAGCCTTTGTTTGCCGAGATCTAGTTTTTTGCTTTCCTCTTTGTGTTTGCACCAAGTTCTATCCGAAGTTGCTGTTCTTTTTCTTTGAGTCTTGTTGTTGGATCTTTTGTGTTGCAAAAAAAGCAAAAAAGAGAGAAAAAAAGAGCAAAAAAAGGAGAATAAAAAGGAAAAAAAGAGAAGAGAAAGTGTTGAGCAAGTGTGAGATCATATTCAATTGGGTGAGAAATTTTAGAAGTGTTAGTGGCAAGTGTTGCAACTCAAACGCGGTGCAAGGATATACAATTTTTTATTATTCATTTGCTTTGCATCGATTGGATCTCAACACTAGCCCTCCTCATTTTACCCCACCAAGATCCACCCAAAAACCGTCAGCTTCTTCCCTTTCATTCGCCCGTCCACTCCTAATTTTCTACCACTGCACAGCCGCTAAGGAATCATTACACTCTCCAATTCGAGTGTACATGGAGGAAATATTATGGAAGAAGAGTTCCCAAATACTCAAGCTGCACTGGGTGATGCGATTGAAGAAAGTATAGCTGTAGTTTTGCAAAGGACGTTTGGGGGTCGTCTTCCTATTGTGGGCAATGGGGATCAACACCAACACAACCCCGCTGCCTCACTGGTCGCCGACAATCGACGATGTCGTGGCAACGAAGATCACCATAATGGTCGTGGAAGAGCTGCAGGTGGCCATGTTGATGGTGCCCCTGCTGTTGGTGTTGAACGGAGGCGTGGCGACTTTGCTGGCCCCTGTGAGGGTTGGACGCATGGAGGAGAAGATTGCGGCCGAGGCCATGACCCCCGCGGGCTTTCCGCTAATCACCAGCGACGAGCTGCACATGATAGTGATGACATCTCCCATGAAGATCTCGCCGAGGATGGTGACGAAAATGAAGGCATGGCGGACTATGAACCCTACGCCCCGCCTCATCGTGGTGTTGTTTTTGGTCGCAATGGTCATCATTATGACCATCATGATCAAGATGACCGTGACAACCAAGCGAGAGTGAAGCAACATGTGCCATCATTCACGGGAAAAAGAGGATCTAGATGCATATATTGAGTGGGAGGAGAAGTGTGATCAAATCTTTCACATCCATGTTTTTTCTGAAGCCAAGAGAGTTTATCTTGTTGTTATGAAGTTCTCTGGTTATGCTCTTACATGGTGGAATCAGCTGGAAGACGATCGATTGATGTCGGGAAATAATTATATCCGCAGGTGCACTTTGATGAAGCAAGTCATGAGGCGTTGTTTTGTTCCATCATACTATGCGATGAAGTTGTACAAGAAGTTACAGAGGTTTATCCAAGGTTCTCGCACTGTCAAGGAGTACTATAATGAGATGGAGAAGCTATTGATCTGGACAAAACCCCAAGAGAGTGATGAAGCAAAGATAAAGACATTGTTACATGAGCTGAATGATAAGATATCCGATTATGTGGAGGTGTTTCCTTATGATATAATATCTGATGTTGTACGTTGAGCTATGAGAATGGAGAAGAAGAACATGTGTAATGGTC